ATAAATAATGATTAAAACAAAACACATTCAAATGAAGTTGAAAATTAATGAAAATAATGGATTTTAAAGAATCAATTTGTGCCTAGGGGTATTTTTTAGAATTTTCTTAAAAAAAAAAAGGGAAAATATAGAAGTGAGTATTAATGACCAAAACAATTTTTAATCTTTACCATAATGTAAAAAAAATTAAAAAATGTATTACAAACCAAATTCTTTATTTTTTAGAGTTTATATACATTCTTTATTTTTTAATACCGGCTGATCACCAAAATTGCCCTAAACCGAAATTGCCAATGGCCACTTCCGATCTAACCGGGCAATTTTTCCAACAGTGCTACAAATACGTCGCCTGAGAGAAGGCTTAGTTGCAAGAATGAAGGGCTATTGGCCGTTGGCATGACATGATGGAGTTAATTGAATTCTGGCATGTTTCTTTCGTGATTCTCATTTGAAGGTGTGATATTGGAGTTTTGAGGGTTATAAGAAACTGACTTACACAGCCCCATTTCAGTTCATATTACAATTTGGGTCCTTAAAAATAAATTTAGAATTATGGCTCCACTCAAATTTGACCCGGCTGCACTTCAAAAGCAAGTAACTATTAGCGAGCAAGTCCGCATACATGTTTTGATCTTGAAAATTTTAGATACTTCATAGTGACCCGTAAAACAAGTAATATAGTGTTTAGCAATTTGGTTGCTGTAGAACCGCATAGCTTTAAGGAAAAACTAAGAGAACCTAACTATTGTAAAACTGGTTTAAAGTTTAGACATGCAAGAGTGCCATTTCAAAGTTTATTTGGAAACTTTGTCTACCTAAGAGGTTAGGGGGGCTAGGAATTAGTAACTTGAGGAAACATAACTTGGGAGAAACTTTGTCAAAGAGGTTAGGGGGTCTAGGAATCCGTAACTTGAGGAGACATAACTCAGCTTTAATTGGAAAATGGTGGTGGTGCCTTGCTACCAAGGAGACCAATTACGGAATGACATTCTGAAGACACAAATATCGCCTTGCACCTTCTTCATGGGTGCCAAACTATAGGGCAAGGAAAACAATAGATCCTCCGGGATTTGAAGATCTATCTCTTTCTCATTAGCCTCTTTCAAAAGCCTCATTCGCTTTCACCCTAGAGAAGATAGCCGAGTTCTTTTTTGGAACGACCTTTGGTTAGGCCAAAAACCCCTCAAGTCAAATACCCAGAAATCGATTCTCTTGTTCGCTTCCAAGAGGCAATGGTGGCAGATGAAGTGATCACCGCCGGCTCCTTTCGAACCTGGAACCCGGTATTCAGAAGAGCTCTTATCGACTCAGAAATTTGCGTTTCTATGAGCTTGCTGCTGCCCTTCAAAATTGTTTCCTTGCTTTTCAAGGTCTGGATCTCATTATTAGGCCTCCCCCCTCTAGTATCTTCTTGGTCTCATCATTCTATCACAAACTTTTCCAACCACCTACTTTCCCTCTCTCTCCTACATCCCCTGCAGCCCAAGCTTGGTCCTCTTTCGCCCCTCCAAAAATCCAGGTATTCATGTGGCTAGTAGCTCTTTCCCAGAGGGTGCTCGCCAACGACATCTTTAGAGAAGAGCCATTGCCCACCCTAATCACTGTGTCCTTTGTATTGCAGACTAAGAGAGCAATGCCCACCTGTTCCTTCATTGCCTCTTCGCCCGCAAGCTCTGGGGAAAAGTCCTTCACTTATTTAAATGCCAACGGGTCATACCTGCCAATTTACCCTAGCAGGGATATGCTCGTCTCATGGAGGCATATTTGGCAAGAATCAAAACTTTTTTTAGATGGCTCATTTTTTGTGGCCTCTTTATAATCACATCTTGTAATTAATTGTAAGAAAGGCCCTTATTTTTGTTTCTTTGCTGCACCAGTAAGGTGCTTTTTGTATATAGAGCTTCCGCTTGTGGATAGCCTAGTTTTTGGAAAACTTGCATCTCTTTTAATTTCAATACAACATTAATATGTTAAAAAAAAAAAAACTTTATCTATGATAATTACCCCACATGACAACGAATATGCATAGCTGAATCAGATAGAGTTCTATACTTGGATCTCAAATGCATACACGGCAAACTATTAAACACCTTCCTATTCTTTAAAATACCTGAACTGCAAGGGTTCTCTGAACAAGATCGGTTAAATTATGCATGTGAGAAGTTTTGAAGCCAGCATAGTGGATTTCCATGTCATCCTGAAAAGAAGACAAGGAAATCAGTCAGAACAAACAATCATGGATTTGTTGAAAAAAGTGAACATAACAGGTAAGTAAACAAAGTTATGCATAACAGAAGGTAGGAAAAGAAAAGCACACATAGAATAACCAACTAACAAATGGACTGATTAATCCCTGAAATGCATCATGAAGATAACTGACGCAAGTTCACTCCCCATTACATGCATTCTAAAGAGGAAAGAAGACAAACTGATCAAAAGGAACATTCACAATACCAAGCAACAATAATAGAAACAAACAATAAAATAAACAACAGATATGCACAACGAGATGCACAATAAATAAATGTCTCTATTAAAAGCAAATATTCCATCTATTTCACCAAATTCTCATTGGACGCAAGCCTATCAAGATGCACATGGAAGGACAGAGAAAAAAAAGCACTTCTATTCCCTGAAAAAACCCACTAATTATTGTATACGTTCAGACGTTCTATAATGGACAAAAAGGGCTGCCTAGAAGTACTTTCTGTTCTATTCCTTTGGCTAGCATGAAATCAAAAGGCGATGTTTAATATGCATACAAGGATATTTCGTGCAATGTAAGGAATACTCATCTGGCCATTGGCGAAAGAAAGACCTTTTCCAAAAACCATTTCCAATACCTCATAGGCACTATATCTCACAAGATACAATTGTAGCCTGAGCCAGAGTCTAGGAATGCCAAAGTTCCTTGTTTTTGTTCCTGTACATCAATCCCCAGCTTCACCACCCATTCTTGAGCTCTTTCTAAGAAACAACCAAGAAATGAATTGACTAGTTGAAAGGATCGTGGCAGCCCAAACATTCTCTGGCTAGGTTTTATTCCCTTATCTCATGGACAAGCCAGACATTTTCTTTCCCTTGTCCAAGCTCTCTCTTGATTTTCCTTATGGCCTGTTTTTCTTGCACTTCTTTTCCAGCATCTGGAGTTCTCCGCATGTGTCTGAAAGAAAAACTGGTATTTTCATAAGTGTGATGAGTTCTAAGACTCCTCTATATACAAATAATAAGGTCTTTCTTGGGTTGTTGCCTGGAAGGTGCAAGAGAAAAATAGTGATGCACTTGCCTCCATTGAGAGTATGTACACTTGTACATTGACAATCATCACAAGTACTACAGTGTCATACTGTTATACTCAGAGAAATCAGGCATGGCACTCAAAATATAGTTTTGAGAATGTTCAAGAGCCTCTGAAAACATCTCCTCTTTTTAGGGCGAAGTCCTTCGGAAACATCCCACATCCAGCAAGCTTTTGATGATGGGTGGTTTAAAAGAAATTGTTGGATTGGCTCTAAAGGCCATATTTTATGGTAGTCTTCTTGTTAGTAGGGGGGAAAAAACAGAGTTTCAAGACAATATAGCTGTTCAACGAGCACAAAGAACCCCTTTTGTAGCTAGATCAACATTGGGTAGTATCCTAGTTACCCTGGCTTGAAGCAACTACGCTAGAAAAAGGTAATAAAGGGAAGGAGGTGGGGCGGTGACATTTAATAGCATCATGCATAACAAGATTTTCGACCAAAGTGCCGCTTTTGTTCCTAAATTACAAGCTAAAACAAGAAGAGGATACGGTTGGTGCCATTTCTGAAAACTTGGTGTAGGAGCAGCAAGCACCCCTAGTGTCAAGTTTAGTGGCTTATTGACATTGATTTTATGACAATCGAAATGGTGAGTAGGGTGCGAAGTCACATCACTCAGGATGTTCGGTATACAACGATCTCACCATTTCTTCAGCCTTCATGGGCCTCGGGATTTGTTACTGATGATAGACCTCATAATTGCTTTTCCCTATCCTGGTAGTGATTTATCCAAGGGAAAGTAGGCAAGGCATCCACAAACCATTTTCCAAATACATGGTGTAATCTATATCCACAGCTCTGGTCTGTCATGTCCACAGTACAGTTCATTGTCCATGCATCTTGAAAAAAGTTGGTGCATGCCCTGCCCATTTCCCTTAGAGTAAAGAAAAAATAAAAAAAAATTAAAGGGAAGGAACACGATATTTATATAGAAGGCCAAGGATAGATTATAACTGCACAGCTGCCAAGCACAAAAAGAAGAAAATATAATGGAATGCTCTGGCATGAATTTCCATCAAAGCAGAAAGTTTCATTGACATTCGTGTTATTAAGAAAATGCCTACCGAAGAGTTTATATGGAGCTCCCAACCACCAACATCTTCACGAGAGCCTGACACTAAACGAGAACTTTTCTGCAAATCAAATGCTTCTTGGTCTATAGTTAAGGGATATCCTCCTTCATCTGCTAAGTAGAAGAAAAAATGACCATTTTCTAATGACACCTCATTCATGGGAGATCTGTAAATAAAGCACACAAAGACAGAGATGTTCATTTCCTTTTGGTGGTACATCATATGAGATATCATATTAGCTGCCACCTATAAGTATAAATATATAAATTCTAAAGCTAAAAAGCACCGAATAAGCGGATTCCAGGCATGATCACAGTCAAATAAAATAACAATATAAGATCATTTAATAAGTTATTATTGAATGAATAAATATGGACATGCATACTAAGTTATTATTGAGTGAATAAATACGGAGACAAATAGATCTCAATTTATGTCCATAGTTCATATAGGCCACATGTTAACAACAATACAGAAATTAGAGAAGTTAGAAAGGAGAAATCTTCCACAAAGAGGATCAAAGTCTATGCTACAAAGATATGGACACGTGAGTTAGTAGATGACGTGGATGCAGATGTCAAAAACACCAACCCTAAAAATTAACCTTTCCAACATGAAATGTCTATACATTATTTAGATAAAAGGGATAAAAGGGAAGGTCGGATTTCGAGTGACGTATAAGCTCTTTTACAATAAAAGTTCAACTAGAAAGTTAATATATGATGTCTAAGTTTCTAATGTGTCAGACATCAATTTCATGCCCTCAATAAGTCGATATGTGTCAAAAATTTCGTGTCCTCAGTGAGTCGATATGTGCAAAAACCCATAGACATACATCTCCATGTTACATAAACAAATATTCAGATGTCTGCAATCCCATCAATGGAAAGACATAATGAACATAAATGCACTCATAATACATGGGAAGTTTTAAAATCCTTTCAGGTGCAAAATCTTAAGCCATGTACCAAGAAAGACCATAAGCAAAGCCATAGGTACAAGAAGAAAAGTTGTATTCTACCCACAGCTATGTAGTCTACATGTCTTCTCTTGTCATCTAAATCCAATATTTAACTATTTATTAAAAACTATTCCGATGAGGGATTAAAAAACCAAGATCTGGCTGTCAGAGTTCTATGATGTTAATGGTTGCAGTAGGCCCACTTATGGATCAAATCATTCCTTATGAGTTGTGAAACTCCATTTTTTTCGAGATTTCTTGTATGGATGATCTTGTGTCCCTTTTCAAAGTATTTTTGAGTGGCTGGTTGTTCCTTCATGTTTTTCAATCTGTATTGTGGCCAATATGTCGAGTTTGAGTGATTCAAGCCCCTCTTCCACCTTCACTAGTACTCCCGATGTCATCTCACATATGGGTATCCATGGAGATAACTCTGGACTGCAGATTACAACTGTCAAACATGATGGAAAAAATTATTTAGAGTGCTTACAAATTGCTAAAATATTCATAGGTGGAAGACAAAAGTTGGGGTATGTCAATGGTAAGATTATTGAACCTGAAGAAACAGTTCTAGGACATGAAAAGTGAGAAATTGGAAATCTTACATCTATAATCTTGATTGTTACGCTCCATGTAGCCATTGATTAGTAGGGGTTTTTTGTTTATTCAAACTGCAAAATAGATTTGGCACTCTGTATATCAAACTTCCACTCAAAGCAAGAACATGGCTCGAGCATATCAACTAAGGCAGCAAATTTGCCATGTTCGACAAAGGGAGAAGTCTTTTGCTAAATATTTTTCATTACTTTGTAGTATGTGGTAGAAGCCAGACCACTATTAGATGTATAAACCATCCTGGAATGAAGTGATAAATACAAAGAGGTAGTGGAAGAAAATTGCATTTTTGAGTTCCTGGAGGGTTTGAACCTCGAGTTTGAATTAGCCAGGTTCAAATACGTAAGGATACCCTTCCAATGCTTAACATGTATATTCCTCTGTTCAAATTGAATAGTGTAAAAAAATGTCATGTTTCCTAGACAAAACGTTGATCGAACTACTCTTACTTCAGCCTCCTTTCCTCCTAAAAACAACAAAGGGGTGGGACCCAAAAATTTGAAAAAAAAACCTAACCAAGGTGATAAAAGTAAGCTCAAATGTGACCATTGTGGTAGAATTGGTCATCACAAAGAAACTTGTTGGGATCAAGTTAGTCATTCCAGCTAAATTCAATTGTCAAGGTCAATTTAACGCTCACAATGCAGCATGTACTAGGCACAGCTGCTGCTAGAACAAATTAGTAATTCAAGGGCATCAATGTTTGCAAAATCAGGCGGTTCAAATTAGAACCGCTTGATTAGATTGGAACCGGTCACTGGCCGGTTGCAGTGATCCGGTTAGGTATTTTAGAAAAAATTTAACCAAAAAAAAAAGAAAATACTAATAATAATAATAATTATATATATATATAATCTCAAAAAAATAAGGGATTTGTTTGTAATGTGTTTTTTAATGTTTTTCATCATTTTGACAAAGATTGGAAAGTGTTTTGGCCATTAATATTTATTTTTACATTTGCCCCCATCTTTTTGAAAATTTTCACACAAATTGATTTTTTAAAATCCATTTTTTCACTAATTTTCAACTTCATTTTGATGTTCTTTGTTTAATCATGTTCTAAATATACTTTTCATATTTTTTTAGATATTTTTTAAACACTTTTTTGACCAGATTAATTAAAACAAGCCCTTGGCCAGTTCGATTTTTCGCACACCACGTCAAATCATATGTCTTCCTTGTTTTCTTTATGTTCTCAAGATTGCTCATGGGTCTTTTCATCCATCGTAGGAAAAGGAATTGGCAATGTTTCTCCTAAATTATCATTGTCATCATTTCTTCATGTTCCCAACTTTGTTACAAGCTTAATGTCTATCAGTAGTCTTATCAAAAGAGTATATTGTAGCATGATTTTCTTATCTTCTCACTATGTCTTTTAGGATCAAGATATGAGGGAGACAATTGGCAGTGATCATGAAGCCCGTAGTCTAAACATTCTTGACTCTGCAACAACTACCGCTCAAGCCTACAATTCAGTTTTACTGCTAGTAACGATCGTATTTGGCAGTGGCGTCTTTGACTTCGTCATTTATCTTTTAGTTTCTTAAATTGTTTATTTCTACTAGTGTGTTTGAGTTTCAATGTGAGGCCAGTTTATCAAAGCGTCGTAAAAACTCCTATTTACCTAGTAATAACAAAAGCAGGGTTCCTTTTGCTATTGTTCCTTTTGATGTTTGGGGTCCTGTTAAATCTTGTTTTGGTTATAGATATTTTGTTTCTTTTGTGGATGGTTACTCTCGATGTACTTGGATCTACCTTATGAAAACCAAAGATAAAGTTCCACATATTTTCAAGGTCTTTCATAAGATGATTCTCACTCAATTTAATACTAAAATTAAAGTACTTCGATTTGACCAATATGGGGAATAGTCTAATGGAGAGTTACAGTCCTACTTGGAAGAGCAGGGGACAGAACAACAAAATTCTTGCACCTATACACCACAATAAACTGGTGTAGCTGAAAGAAAGAATAGACATCTTTTACAAGTAGGCCGTGCTCTTCTCTTGAGTCTGAATGTACCCAAGAAATTCTCATCTAATGATGTGGTCACTGCATCTAAATTGGATGACATCTTGTGCTTTAAATTACAAGTATCCATATAAACTTCCCTTTTTTGATCATCCACTATTTAGTATTCCTCCTAAAGTCTTTGGTTGTGCTTGCATTGCTCATGTTCTAGGTACATACCATACAAAATTGGATCCCAAATCAGTAAATTGTATTTTCCTTAGTTATCCATCTTTGGGAAAAAGTTACAAATGTTGTGATCCAGTGACTAGGAAGAAATTTGTCACTCTTTTTAGTCCACTCCTTTCTTTCCCAATGCACTTCAATGCGAGGATAGTGTGGAAGGGAGGTCCAGAGATCTTCATCTTTCGTGGAAGAGAGGTCCAGAGATCTTCATCTTCCGTGGAAGAGAAGTCCTTTATTCCTCTTCCTCTCCTTACTGTTTCTGACTTTTGAACCCAGGATGACAATGGGGGGCATTTTCATGGTCCTGAAATGAAAGAAATGAATGTCTATACTTACAGAAACATAAGGAAGTGGAGACCACTATAGCTGACGGGCCCTTACGCCAATTGTATACCTCCAATCCAGGTAATAATCCCAAACCCAGTATGATGATTCTGATCTGCCTATCGTTGTTTGCAAAGGTAGACAAAGTTGCACAACACACCCAATTAGCTATTTTGTTTCCTTTGAATCCTTTTCTCCTTCCTATTGTGCTTTCGTGTCGTCTGTGTCTTCCATTTCTATTCCTTCCAGTGTTATAGAAGCCTTAGCTCATCCCAAGTGGAAAGAGGCTTTGTGTGAGGATGCAGACCCTAATGCATAATGGTACCTGGGACCTAGGAGATCCTCCTAAAGAGAAGAAGATGGATGATTGCAAATGGGCTTACACTGCAAAGCATAGGGCCGATGGTACAATTGACAGATACAAGGCATGGTTAGTTGCTAAGACATCTACCCAAACTTATGGAACAAACCATAGTTACCGGAAGCTTCTAAGGAGGGGGTCGATTTCACTCCAGAAGCTTGATCCCGCGCTCTAAGATACGGGCTCTCGATTCCGGGCGATTCCTTGATATTTGGGATCTCAATTCCAGAAATCGAGGAACACGATCCCATCTAATGGGATCCAGATCCCTATGCCAAAGATCATGGTTCCATGAGTAAGCGAAACCACAATTCCACAATCTTAGAATTGAGTATCCTCGAATTAGGGAGCGGGTTTCACCGATGCATTTCTTTTGTTCATATACAATCGAGTGTAGACCTCCAAATTTTTATGACCTACAATCCCTTTGAACTCCATGATTTCTTACATATTTTACGAGGACAAGGAGAGAAGCAAGAAGATGGTAGGAGATACAAAAGTTAGTCGCGTTATGGTTCAATTGAAGAATGTCAATATGCTCAACTTCCTTGGAGCTAGTTCCACTAAGTCTTGTATACTTCTTGAACGACTTCTATCGCTTGCGTGTTTGTCAACCAAATTGAGCCACATGTGAGATTGCCTTATGGGTGATGGAATAACATATATGCGTGGAAATGTGAGGTCTTTCTCATGTATATGTCTGTGAACCCC